CACCAAGCACACGTCAGTGGGCGCTGGCCCCAGGTCCCCTTCCACCGCAGCCTGGCAGATGCACAGACCCTCCCACTCGCAAATGGAAACACCTACCAGCGGGAGCTGAGGGCAGGTGCAGGTGAGCACGACTGTTGAACACACTGAAGGGCACATATGCGAAAAGACCAGGGGCTTACACACCAGTGTTCAAGTCTCACTTCTGGGAACTGCAGACCTCCCCACCCCTACTCCTTTTTTGTTGACCCATCTATCTATATAAAAGGCTAATATGTTAAGTGTCTGACCACCTGGGTAATGATGTCACATAGCAACGTCTGGCTTCCTCTTCCTAGCAACAACTAGCCTCCTTGCGTTTCTTCAGGCCAGGAACACGACTTGCTTTATAACCAGGTGCTGATGTCTGTGAAGCATTTTCCTGTGCCTCATCTCATTTGATCATCACAGAAGTCCTGGAGTAGGTAGGTAGGAGACTCAGTGAAATCCTATTTTCTTTTCATTAGCCAGAAAATGGAGATTTAGAAAGCTTAGAAACTTGACCCTACTGAAAAGAAGTAAGAAATGGTGGAACGTGAAAATGACTTCAGGTTTTCTCACTATGCAGAATATAGTCAAATACTGCTGCAGTTAAATATTTTACCCTTTGTTCTCCCTGCATGATCTGCAATAATAATTTATTGCTGTATTGAATTGAAAAGAGAAGTTGGCGTGCTTCACTGGGCTAGAAAAAGTTTAGCTAAATCAGGAAGCAGGTCTAATTAAGCAAGTTTATCTCTCTCTATATAAAGCTCTCACTGGTGCCAACTGCACAAATGTTTTTCCATCTGTCATTGTCGATAGTAAATTTGGTTGACATTTCTATTATAGAGAAAGGGCAAGCAGTAATATTAAACTATTCTAATTAATTTTCTTTCAATGTCCATGAATTTGTGCACATTGAAACTAATATAATGTTGTATGCCAACTGTAGTTGAAACATTAAATAAATTATAAAAATAGAGCTATTGATGATGGATATAACTAGCAGTATTTTCCTATGTATTTGTATACTGTATGTAAAGCAGTGCCTACATATCAAGTTATTCAAATTCTGTCAATAACTCTGCAAGGAAAGTATTATTGCCCACACGTATGAATGAGAAGAAAGGCACAGACATGTCAGCTGCCTTACGCAGTGCTATAAAGTTTAAAATACCAGCTATAACATGCTGAGTCCTGGATTTGGGTTTAGGTTTCTTTGTACTGAATTATGCTGCATCAGTTATTCTTTGACTCCCAGTTACATTTTAAGCTCCCAGAGGCAGATGGCACAGACAGGGGCAGCCTCATACCCCTGTGGCTTTTCCATTGTGCCATCCTAGGTGCAATGTGTGGACGCAGTCATGTGGGGTGGAAAGACTGAGGCAACGTGGGGAACTCAGTTTCAAAAGGATGGATGTCGCCAAACCAGATCACATACACTCTCAGGTGTGAAGTGTTGGGTGCACCCGCAACGCCAGAGCATCCCTCTGTGGGTCCCTCTCCCTGCCAGGGTTTCCACTGGGAGACCGTGAATCCAGAGAAGGTCCAGCACCCACCACTGCATTATCTCATCCCTGTGCACCAGGGCGCTTTCTTCCTCCCAGGCTCCAGCTCCTTAGCCAGGTGCTGTTCTGCTGCTCCCAGGTGCACAGGGATTCAGTGAGACTGATTGGGCTTACCTGCCTGCACACACCATGCAGCCATATTGAGCTCCTGTCCCTCATATGCCAGGGTGGCACAGGCAAATCCACAGGTTAGCCAGCAGGACTCAACAGGAGGTGAGGCAAGCTACACCTGTATCCTAGGAACCCTGTTTTCTACTCTCTAGGGATCATGGTTTCTACTCCCACCCCTTTCCCAGTTGTTACTAACCTTAAGTAAGGACAAAGCACTTGGTCCTCAGATAACCTCATTATTGCGTCATCCCAATGCCCTCCTAACTAACTTCCATTTTTCTCCTGCCTAGAGAATTGCTATCTCCTCAAAGGTGTAGAGGGAGAAGAAAGCTTTTACTAACGTTATTTATTCTTCACAAATGTAAAGTTTGGGGAACAAATATTGACTACTGCTATTTTTGAGATTAAAAATTTCTTTCTAGTAACTTATTTCTCTGTCATAACTTTTAAGAGCTATATTAAAATGAATACAGATTTATTTGTTTTTGTATTTCTGCTGTAACAAATCTACAAAAAGGACAGAAGGTATATAGTACCTTCATTGATGCCTGAATTGGGGGTGGGGTGGGGCAGTGGCCAAAGGTGGGAACAAAACGAAGAGAGAAAAATTAACTTCAGCTAAGATATCAAAATATTATCAGAGTATACTTGCTTTCTTTTGTGTTACTAGGCATGAAACCTGATCTGAGAAATGAGGTTAAAGGGGCCTGAAGCATAAAGGGCCATCGTCGTAGTCAGTCCTGAGATAAACAACAGGAAAATTTTCAGTAAAGACCTCATAGAGGGGGTTTATCCTTCCACAGAGATATTAGTTCAAGGTCATGGAGGGATTAGATATCTGATGGATACCCCAGGAATCCCACAATAGGTAACAACTGAGAAAAAATTCAAGAGTTTGGGGGAGAATTCTGAGAGGTATGTGAGATCTGAGGGGGCTACAGCACCTGTAGTCACAGAGAAGAAGTGAGAGGATGAGTGTAGGAAGCGAGAAGTGATGTGATGAACATGGCCAGGAAATAGTGCTGCCATCCAGCATGTCCACTCTCTGCTTGTGGATGGCAATGCACCTGCAATGACACAGACATGAGATCTAGGGGTTCCTGTGCTATTATTATTGTCTTTCC